GATTGATTTTGCAAGATAGATAAATAAAAATTTTAAAATTAAAAATCACGTGAAATTCGATAAGTCGGTCACAGGGGTCCATCCCGACATGACCGACTCGTCAAGTTTACGGAGTAATTTATTTAACTTATTATTATATTTATATTAAATAAATCTAAATCTATGTAGGGTTCAAAATTTTGACCAATATGGTAATTCTGGTAACATTTCCGCATAATGCTGGTTAATTTTGGACCCTACGTAGGTTTACGCAAGATTTATTTGATTGTAAGGATTGATTTTTTAAAAATAAAAAAAGGGATCATTGTTAAATCATTTTAATATTATTCAAATACAAACAGAAAAGAATGAGGCTTTTCTCCTACGGTTCATAGAGGCTTTGATTGCCTGGATTTAAGTTAACTGTTAAAATATCGTTAATTGTTACCTTTTTTATCCTATAATCAATTCAATTACTCCTTTATCATTAATATTAATTTTTATCGTTGTTGCTATTTTTATGGAAATATTGCTAAAAAAAAAGAGGTAAAAAAAGGCTTGTAATCGCGAGACTTGCCAAATTTACAAAAAATTTAGTAATCACGAACGAGGCTTAGCTAGATTTTGGCACATTAACCAATTAATCTTCACTTATAATCAATCATCTAACAAAAATACATAAGCGTGTAATAACGAAATAAATATTAATATCAATAATTTTTTTTCGACTAACACTAATGATGTCAAGCAGCATCCCATTCTTTGTATATGACAAGATCACGTGATAATTTGAGCTTAATCATAAAATTCATAAAAAAAGAATTCGTAGAGTACATCAATTCGTTACCCGTACCCTTGAGTCAAAAAAGATGAATAAAAAAATATATACTTAAAAATAACTAACTAAATAATTGAATATTTGATTAATTAAATTAAATATCTATATTAATAATTTTATTTAAAGCAAAATCTGAAAATAGATTCAGAACGCATGCCCATCTAAAGCTGGATCAACAACATCACCCGAAAGAAAAGTTTGTCGGAAATAGGCTTTATGTGTTTTCATTTCTTTCCATTTATGTAATCATTAATAACATTACATTCTTTCATTAGCGCAATAATAAATGTAACAAGTGAATTTTATGAATAATTTAATGAGATTATTAATAAAAATTGAACTATCGTTTAATGAAATATTTGTTAAAGAACAAATATGTGTTTATTATTAGGTGATAACATTTTTTAAGAAAAAAAAACAACCAAAAACAGTTGTTGAATGATGTATAATAAAATTCGACAGGAATTTTGCCATTAAAATTTTCACGTGACTAAATTAACTATTATTAAATGATAGTTTGACTTTGGTTTAGACTCTTGCTATTTAAAGACTTTTGAATTGTTATAAAAATTTTCTAGCATTGTAATAGTTAACCGGTTAAAGAATTTTTGTGTAGTGCTAACTCTAGGCTTAGCCGACAATTACATAAAAAAATTTTTTCATCAGTTTTTCGTAAGGGAAATTAGCAATTTGAATACAAAATTCGAATTCGAACAAAATTACTTGATAATAACAATTCAATAAAAATTTTGACTTCCAAGGAATCACGTAAATAATAAAAATATTATAATGTATGTATAATTATTACTATACATGAAATAAAGCTTACGTGAGAAAGTGGGAGAATTTAACTAATTAATTAGATTAATCAGTAGTTGATGCTTTGAAATGGAAAAGGAATTATTTTTGACTGAATGAAAGAATTTTTAATGCCATTAATAATGTTTAATAATATTTTTTCAATAGGTCTTCATACGATCCGTATGTACCTAAGGAGGGCGCTGCTGGTGGTCCGCCTTCAAAGACTGTAGAAATTCAAAAAAAAATTGATGATACAGTAGAAGTTATACGTGATAATCTTAAATTTGTTGCTGGAAGGGGAGAGAAATTAGATAATTTACAAGATAAAACTGGTAATTTATGTTGGAAAGTAAAGATTCTATTAAATAATTTAGCAATGTCTTCTCACTAATTTTTTTTTTTTTTTGTAAATAGAAAATCTGTCAAAATCGGCAAAAGGATTTCATCTTTTCTCAAATGAAGTACGAAAAAAAACGTGGTGGAAAGATATGAAAATGAGAATTATTATTGCTGTTGTTATAATCATTTTATTATTGATTATTATTTGTAAGTAATATCGATTATTATAATAATACGGAGAAAATATTTATAACAAGGAACATATTAAAATTAATAATCTTTTTTTTTTGTAGTGCCAATTGTTCTCAATCAAAAATAATTCGTCCATTAATGAAAATTATATTTTCATGTCAATTTTATAAATAATAAAAAAACATCAAAGAAATTGAACTTCATTATTACTATTATTGTTGTTGTTGTTTTTCTTTAATTTGAAAACGCATATTTTATTTCTTGTATATTATTTTAATATTGTATAAATATTTTTTTCTTTCATGATTAAATAATTTATTAACAAATAAATAAGAATATATTTCACTTGTAAAATAGTTAACTTGTTTGGTTCACAACTATGACGCCTGTTCGTGATCTATGTTTAGGCAACTTTCCTGATAAATCTTGATTGTTATTTCTGGTGTCAAAAAACCTTTTCCATAAAAATTTCCAAATCTATACACAATCATATCTGATAAATATTATTTATATTTTGCCAATCAATATATATATATTTATCAATCTTAACTACCTTCTTGCGCATGCATTTTTGGGGGTGTCACACTTATAGATCAACAAATCTAATTAATGAGCGGATTTTTTAGTGTTACCTGAAAATTTCATGGTGGAATTTTTTTCACAACTGGTATTTATTACCCGCAAAAATCTCTCTATTCAGCCAAACTATATATATTATACTATTTCATATTCAAAGTTGAGAATAATATATCTCTTTTTCACAGACTAGTAGCATTTTGAAAATACGATTTATTTATTATTTTCTTTGCGTTGTTGATCATTAAAAAAAATTAACTTATTGATCGACACTATATGACATTACTTAATTTTGATTTAATTAGACTGTAACACCCTCCAATGACTGAAGGTACCTTTTGCAGCATGGTGGAAGTTTGATTTTATTGGATATAAAATGTGACAAAATAAAATTTAGGATTTTACCAAAATTAGAAAAGTTTAAGGAAAATCAAGATTTATATGGAACGTGTAACGTTGATCACAGCGAACAAAAAATTTAATGTGTATATATAATATATATAATATACACACACGAGAGCTTATTCCTATATTACCACTACCACTACCACTACCACTGTCATCTCATTCTTGTTCTACTGCTATTGTTACTGTTACTGCTAGTGCTACTACTGCTTTTAATGTGCCATTATTACATCTGATGCCACTACATTAGAGAAAGTTAAATCTTTCGAAGAAATATTCTATTTATGAATTGATTATTAAGTAATAATATTTATTATTAATATGTCAGTATGTCCATGTCCATTTACCATATTATTCTACGGATAATTAGTTGCATATATAACTATTAATAAAAACAAGTATTAATAGATAGATATGAATAAGAACGTTACATCTACCTGCTTCTTAAATTTGTAATATAAACAATAGCCTTTATTTACAATGGAGTAATAAATTATTTATTTGTAATTAAATTATATATATAAATAGTTTAATAAGTAGTTAATAATACCATAAATAAATACCTCTTTAATATTAGTAAACTCCGCAGGTATTGATGTATGGCACATGTTTAAACAAACAATCTATGCTTGGTTATATGTCTAGTAGTAGAGTCTCATCTGTGATTGTATTGGAAAAATAGTTTTTTTTTTAAATAAAGCGAGGTTACTATTTAAAATCTCTTAATTTAAACGAAAATACTTTTATATTAAACCTTCACTAATACTTGCGTTATCGAGATTAAATTTCAACTGAATAACCTTCTCAATATG